TTTTTTTTTTCTTTTTTTTCTCTTTTCCTCTCTTTTCCTCGTTTTCTCTTTTCTCTTTTCCTCTTCCCCAACCTTAATGAAAATTTTAAATCCCTGAAATGATGAAATGTTGATTGAATGTTTTTAGTTGCTTTTGTTTCATGAGTTTCATTCAAAAAATGCCTCTTGATTTTTCAGTGAATAAATTAGAAAGTAAAAAAAATGCCTCTTGTTTTTTTGCAGCAAATTTTTTTTTCTGAAAGTCTCCACTTTAAAAGAAAGAATTTCAGTGCATTCACAAAGTGTCTTTAATTTTGATTCTTCAAGTTGTCTTTTTTTATGTAATTTTATTTTCACTAGAAAGTTTTATTGAACATCTCAATGTCAGTGCTAGATTTATCTATAGGCTGAAGCGTAGGGCCTCAAAATCTCTGTGGCCTCCAGCCAAGGTTTATGATATTTTTGACACTGTCACAATTCTTTCTTACACATGCTGTCCTATAATGCATTGTAGACTCTAAATAACCCTTCAATAATTTTAAACACCTATCAACATCCTTGGCTTTTTTCCTCTTTTTTCCTCTTTTTTCCTCTTTTTTCCTCTTTTTTCCTCTTTTTTCCTCTTTTTTCCTCTTTTTTCCTCTTTTTTCCTCTTTTTTCCTCTTTTTTCCTCTTTTTTCCTCTTTTTCCTTTTTTCTTTTTCCTCTTTTTTTTTTTTCTTTTCTCTTTTTCCTCTTTTTTCCTCTTTTTTCCTCTTTTTTCCTCTTTTTTCCTCTTTTTTCCTCTACTTGTGAGAATGGGGGGATTTGAAGGGGCCTTACAAGTGGAATAATTTAAGGCCTCTCTTCATTTAGATCTGGCTTTGCTCAAGGTTGTCCTTTATATTAATGTTTTCATATTTTTCACTAAAATCATAACATGATCTTGCTCATTTTTTTTTTTTTTTTTTTTTTTTTTTTTTTTTTTCAGAGTGAATGTTTAAAAGAAATGTGATGGGTTTGCACTCACTCCATATAAAGTTAAAATTGACCTTTTTTTTACCATCAATTTCTTTTTTGTTTTAGCTAAAATAAAAAAAAAAAACTCTACTTAATGGACATATACTTTAAGTTCAGAAACTTTTTTTTTTTTTTAAAAACCTTGTTTTCTACATGATATGTACTAGTTAGAGAAATACAGTGTGCTTAACTTATGAACTTTATCTAAGAACAGGAGTTTTTTTTTTTGTTTTTTTTTTTGACTTTCTTGACTTTCTTTTCGTATTTACTTGTCACGCATTTACTATATTGTTATAAAAAAGAAAACAAAAACACTTAAGACCTTAATTTTATGAATGAATGTCCACTTAGATAATAAAATTTCTTTAAGTGCATGAGAATTCATTTTGTCACTTTTTCCTTAAAGAACTCAATGTGAAACAGATGTACATTATTTACATTATTCGGACTATTGTCCTCATCTTTGTCGCCATATTTATCACAATGCTCCGGCCTTCTTCAGGTGGTTGGAATGTCGAACTGAACCTTTTATTTCACTCACCGGGGTAGACTGTTCTAGTTCCACGTGCCATGTTTATGGTGACAAAGATGAGGATAATAGTCCGAATAATGTAAATAATGTACATAATACCTCATCTCAGAAATATAGACAGACTGTGAAACGGATGATAGTTAACTATTTTCTGAACTCCTTCCTTGATCACCAAATTAAACTATTTCTTTCTAAGGTAACTAATAGAAAAACTGAATATACAGATAAAAGCAATACATTAATATTTTCTCTTAGAAACATAAAGAAATACACAATTCTAGTAAAACAGAACAAGAAAATTAAATTATCTATGAAATTTTTAAAACACTTAAGCTTATCATCAATGAAAACAACTCGCCTGCAAGATCTAAATTACAGAGAAGCAATATAGGGCATATGACTACATGCCTATCAAGAAGACTCACATCATACCTCTCTGACCACAACTCAATTAGTACTCCTTTAAATACATACGGGAACCTACCAAACTCCATCTGCAACATACTTGTAGAAAATACAAGTATAACTTCATCCACATGTAAAAAAAACCCCAAAAAAACAATGGGAGCACTAATAATAAAAAATAAAAAGCCAACACTCAATAATAATATCGACCATAAACATAGCCACAATGTGCTGACCGTGTTTGGGGAGTGGGGGAGGGGAAACATTGTTATCATTCTAGTAACATAATTAAAAAAAAAAAAAAAAATCTTTGATAATGGCTAAGCTGAAAGTGCTTAGATATACAAAATATTTTGGACAGATCTTACACGCTTTCTGTCCAGAAAAGAAAACATAAGAACACAGGAAAAATTAAACAAAATTCTTAATCACAGTACCTTGTCTGTCATCTTTTAATGAAACTGACATAAGAGGGATTGCTGCATTTTTCACACACACACACACATATATATATATATATATATATATATATAGAAAGAGTAAGCTATTAAATCCTTATATATTAACATACCAGTTGACAAATATTCAAGTTTTTAAGAGAACTATCACAAAATAGAATAAAAAAAAAAAAAAAAATGAACCATCTCCCTACTGATAAACAAAATTGTTTAACTTTATATAAACCGATTTTTTTTTTACCCTTCAACAATAAGATTTTACAAACAGAAATTTGTCCTACCTCTAGGTTCTTGTATCAACAATGTTTTCAGCTTGTCTTTTTACAACTTCTCACACATAGGTCCTTACTTCTCTTTTGTTGGTATATATCAGCAAATCTTTCTTGTTCAAAATATATTAAACTAAATTATATTATATTTTGAAAATTAAAAATCAATTTACATCTCTTCAAAGCTGTCAGTCATCAGATCCTGATGGACAAAGTTGACATTATTTAAAAAAAAAATTAATTTTTTTTTTCTTTTTTATTTGGGTTATCTCTGTATGTTATATATTTCTTAGTGGGGGGAAAGTTGCATCCCATCTGTCATCAAATGGGTTTACTGTATATAGTTAAATGTTGGTGAGTTAGTCAACACTAAATTTATAAATCCAATTCGACATTATAATTAACTGAAATTAGACAAATTTGGGTTTTTTTAAATTTTTGTTGGGTGGGGGGGATTTAATTACATTCTAAGACAGGATGTTTCTGTAATTGAACAATTTTGAACATAATAATTTCAACTTCTGCATTCACTTGGCAGGGAGGGTTTTGAAATCTACCTGACTCCTATTTGTGTATTTGTGTGTCCTCCACCTCCCCATATATGTTTAATGTGTTTGTTTTTTTTTTTGTCTTTTGTTTTTTCTTTTTTTTTTTTAATATCTTTAAAAATGCCTGGATAAAAACCAATATAAGCATAGAGATTTAATATTTTCTTAGAAATTTGAACATTTTTTTAAAGATACTTGTAAATGTGTGTGTATATTTTTGCTTGATATTTGAACTGTTCCGGAGCATGTTTCATTGAATGTAATTGGCCAGAACTTAATATTAATGATATTTTCATATTCTTAGACAGCTCTCTTGTGAGAATTGTCGGCTCCTGTCACCATCAGTTATGCCAAAGCAGCTATTAATAGGAAAACCTGTCTCCCTTTATATTTTTCATTGCTTTTTTATCTCATTGGTGGCATTTTAAGGAAAAAAAAAAAAATTATTAGCATATTCAAAATTTTTTCAAAATTTTATGTGCTGAATTGAATATATATATATATATATATATATATATATATATATATATATATATATATATAATCATTTTTTTTTTTTTTTATACTGGTGGGTGAAAATAACTTAAAAAAAAAAAATTGAACATTTATTTAAATTAAAAATGCAAATAAATTGTTAAATATTGAGCAATTCTTTTCTTAATTTTCTACTAAAGGTTAATAAATCTATAAATGATATGCAATTAATACATATCTATAGACGGGAGCTGGGGGTTAAGCATTTAGGGAATGTGTATTATTTGTAACCTGGGGTACCATGAGTTATTATTTTACTAGTTCACTCAGATGATTTCTCAAACATTGTATAAATGTTAGTTGATCGTTTTTGAAGTTTGTCTTCATTAGAAATAAAGATGAGTGGACTGGATTGGTATGTGATCTCCATCCTCTTATATACTAGTGAATGCTGGCAAATATTCCCACAGAAGATACTGAGAATTTCATGAATATACCAAGTAAGCAACACAGAAATCTTAAAGAAAATGTCCATTTTTTTTTTTTTTTTTTTTCTTTAAATTGTCCATGTTTGAAAGGATGTGACACATGGAAAAAATTGAGGAGTCAAAACTGTTGTTGTGGGCAATGTAAAAAGCCAAACCTTTTTCCCCACCCCTGGCATTTAGAACTGAAACTCTTTAAAATATTTTCACCTTAAGTTCTGTTAACAGCACTCTGATTAAAGTATTCAACTTAAAAGAGAATTATAGCAACTTACTTTTATTACCTACCCCACATACCACCTGAGGTAATTTAAATGTTTGGGTCACTCACTGTCAATGAATCAGGCTTTAATGTATATCAGTGTTTGTTTTTGTGATGTTTTTTTTTTTTTTCCTCCCACTGTTTGTTTCTTGTATCT